GGATGGGAGATGCCTGCTGAAAGTAGTCTATGGACCGAACATGATTGCCACCCAGTGTCTCTTCTGCAGACCACAGCACCCAAAAGGAGAGCTAGAACAAAAGGGAGTGCCCTGCCACAGAGGCAGGGTGGGATGGGGGATGGCGGATGGGAGGGATACTGGGATTGGTGGGGGTGGAGAATGGGCACTGTTGGTGGGATGGGTACTCAATCATTGGATAACTGAAACCTAAGCACAAAACCTTGTAAGTCTACAACTGCACCTCATGGTGCTTCACTAACAAAGGTAAAGGCCCTCCCGTTGATCGTCGATTTGCTCGAGCGGGCCCAGTAACGTCTCCATTGGACACTTTGTTGTTACTGTGTCTGGCATATCGAATACTCTCAGTAGCTTGCCAGGCTCTCCGAGAGGGGCGGAGGAATCGAACTTGGGTCGGCCATGTTGGCCGCGTGCAAGGCAGACGCCCTACCTGCTGTGCTATCGCTCCAGCCCTGTTTGTGCTTCACTAATAAAACAGACAAACAGAAAAGACCCTGAATGATCGGTTTGAGGCTCTGCATATTCCTAGAACGAGCACATGCCATTGGGCTACGCTAGCACGCAACAGGGATGAATGGAGACGTTACTAGCACCCGCTCGAGTAAATCGATGAGTAACTGGGTATCAAGTGATCAAGCGATCAAGTAACTTTTATTCTTTTAATTGTACAAATAATATTCAGTGTAGGAAAACTAAAAGATAAAGGTAAGATAATGATCTTACTTAATTTTCCCAGGTATTCTTCCTTTGGAAAAAAATTGTATGTTACGTTTTGCTCCCCAAAATCAATAAAAATTATCCAATAGCAGCTGTGACCATCAGTGCTACTTTGTTATATACAAAGTTATTTACATTCATTGCAATTTCACCTTCAAAATTTTTTGGGAGGAGGAGTACACCTAGCTGTGCCTAGAGCTTAGCCAGAGATCACTCTCGATCACCCTCAGGGGCTCCTGGGACCACACGCAGTAATGGGGAAGGAACCCAAGCTGGATGCATGCAAGGCAAGCACCCAACATGCAGTACTAGTTCTATGCCTCCTCAATTCTCACAATCGTACTTGGTGCCATTCATATTATTTTACTTTGAGGGAAAGGAGGGATTTGGGATCACACAGGTGGTACCCGGGGTGTACAAGCTGACTTCCATCTCTGGTCGTGGAAGTCACTCCTGACGGATGGTACAGAACGTATGGTGCCAGGAATGGACCTGGGCATCTTGCACTCAAAGGACACACCATCCTTTATATTAAGTCTGCAGCACTGATGCTATTAAAAGATTGCTTTAAGCAGCAGCAATTCCAAAATAACTGAACATCAGATTCAGGCATGCTGCTGATAACAGACTCATTATTGCTTGGGATTTTTTTTTTCCATGAAAACAAACTTTCAGTTTTTTTCAGTCTGGCACTTTCAGATTTTTTGACTCTGGAGAAGCCCATGTTCTCCCTTGAACAAGTATTTCTCTTCCAACTTTTTTTCTACTTTGGAGAAGCCCATGTTTGCTCATGAAACCATATTCTTCACTTTCTCTCCCTTCACATCCAATCTCCAAATTTCTTACAATAATCTATTTTTACTGCATTAAAAAAAAGGACAGGAATATGGTGCTGCCAACAGGTGAGTCTGTACCTCTGAGGTGAGTGCATCAGCAGCCTGATGGCGCCTTCAGAATTCCAGATATACCAAAATTGCTGCTGTGTCACTCTTTACAATAGCCAGAATCTGGAAAAAACTCGAGTGCCCGAGAACAGATGACTGGTTAAAGAAATTTTGGCACATTAACACAATGGAGTACTATATAGCTGTTAGAAAAGATGAAGTCATGAAATTTCCATACAAGTGGTACAACATGGAAAATATCATGTTAAGGGAAATAACTCAGAAAGAAAGGGATAGACATAGAAAGATTGCATTCTTCTGGGTAACACAAAGTAATAAAATAGGAGATTAACACCCAAGAATGGCCGAGATTAGTACCAGGAATTTTTCTCCATGGCTTGGAGGCCAACCACACAGGCTAGGGGAAAAGGGAGCTCAGATAGAGAAGGGAACACCAAATAAAGGTGTTGGGAGGATCCTCCCAGGATGGGAGAAGCATGCTGAAAGTAGACTATAGACCAAACATGATTGTCACCCAAAGCCTCTTTTGCAAACCAGAACATCCAATAAGAGAGAGAGAACAAAAGAGAATGCCCTGCTACAGTGGCAGGGTAGGATGGGGGGAGTGGGGGGTGGGAGGGATACTGGGATGCGTGGTGGTAGGAAATGGGCACTGGTGGAGAGATGGGTATTTGATCACTGTATAATTGAAACCCGAGCACAAAAATTTGTAAGTCTGCAACTGTACCTCATGATGTCTCACTAATAAAAAAAATTGCTGCTGTGCCTCTATCCAGACCCCAAATACTTGGGGCAAAGTTTACCAAGAAAGTAAAGGGCCAAAAGTTAGGTATGTGGAAAACACACCCACAAAACACCTCCGGCTCAGCTATATAGTTGGAGGCATGGCCTCTCTGGTTCTTGATTGAACTACTTAATGACCATGATCCCAGAGACTCAGAAACAAATCTCGAAACGCAGGGGCTTTTTGTAAAAGTTCATCTGGTCCCTGCAGTAGGTTATCAGTGCTGGGCCAATCCAGGTGGGAATAGGTTTTGTGCCTTGGCCTGTTCCCCCTGGCGGCCCTGTGTCTGCCATGCTTTAGAGGCCACTGGACAGTCAGGTTTGGGCCCCCAGTGACGAGATACGCAGGGCCTTGCGGGATGGGGGGAGAGCTGGGCCTGTCCTCCCCACCCCAACGAGACCCTAAGCCATTGCCCACGAACAGCCTCTCTGGATACTAATCAAGCTGTTTAATGGCCATGATCCCAGAGACTCAGAAACAAACCTTGATACCCAGTGGCTTTTGGCAGAAGTGCATCCGGACCCCACAGTACATTAGTGTCGCCAGGCCACCCCTGGGAGGAAAGGGTGTTGTCACTCCACCTGCTCCCTCTTGGCGGCTTGGTGGCCGTCATCATCCAGAGGCCACTGGACAGTCAGGCTTGGGCCTGCAGTGAAGAAATTTGTTAAGCCTTGTGGGATTGAGGGGCAGCTGAGCCTGTCCTCCCTTCCCCAACGAGATCCCAAGTTATCGCCCAAGAATGGCCTCTCTGGCTCCTGATCAAGCTGTTCAATGGCCAAGATCCCAGAGACTCAGGAGCAAATCTCGAAACCCAGTGCCTTTTGACAGAAATCCCTCCAGATTTAAGTGTTAAAATTTCAGAATTCCAAAATCAAATGGCCGTACTGCAGCCGTGCGACATCATTTTATCCATAACCAGCAATAGAACACAAATTGTCTACTGTTGCCTTTTCAGAAGATCTGAGTGTTGGGGTAAAATCTCAAATAATAATGGTGGGTCTGATGTCGAAATATTGAATGTGATTGAAGTAGAGAGAGAGTAATGTGGAAATCATCTGCCCCACCGGTAGGGGGATGGTGTTGGATGGGGGTATACTGGGGTTATTGTGGTGGAGATTAGGCACTGGTGAAGGTACGGGTGTTTCATTGTATGACTGAGACTTAGACCCAAAAGCTTTGTAACTGCTCTCACGGTGATTCAATAAATGAAATTATACAAATGAATAAAAAAAAGTAAGGTGGAGTTCGTGCCCAATTCAATCAGCTAAGTAGTGGGTGAATAAATAGCAGTACACCTACATTTAAAAACAAAAAAGGAAAATAACTTCTTAGCAGCACATTCCTTCAAGTGGCTACTCCCTGTCTCCCCAGGGCCTTGAGTTCACCACCTGGACAGGACTTGTGGGAAGAGGGAGAGCAGCAGCAGCCCAGAGGGGCTGCACAGAGAGCAAGCCCTGCTGCAGGGCCACAGCTGACCTGTCCTCGCTGTGACGCGCTCGATGACATGACCGACCTCCCTTTGTGATGCAACCAGACATTCTGGCAGCCTCTCCACCCGCCCCCATACTCATTACTTGGTTCACTGTGGAAACGCATAGACAGCAAACATGTTTTGCTGTTTACCAAGAAATCGTGGTTGTAAAACCCCCAAGTGTAGGACACTGAAAAGATTCAGAAACTGGGTGAGGACCCATTGGAGAACTCCCCGGAATTCTTCTCGAAGACAGCCGCTAGTTCAGGTCAGCAGGAACTGGCCCGGGCAGCCCAGCACTGATGACCGTGATCAGTCTTCATCACCTCCCTGAGTGTGATGGCGCAGAAGCTGCGTGTGTGGAAGAGTGTGCACACCCGTGTGTGAACGTGTTTATCGGAGAGAGTAAATTTGAGTGTGTACTGGAGATGGTGTGTGTGTGTGTGTGTGAGTATGTGTATTTGTGTATGTGTATTTGTGTATGTAGGTGTGTCTCTGTGTGTGTTGTGAGATCATCTTGAGGGCAGCATGCTGCTAGCAGGTGAGTCATCAAATCTAGCACCCAAGGCCTGGTCACTGCTCACTGAGTTGGCACTAGGAGGTGCTCTTGGGCCAAGACTTTTCTAAACTTGATTGTTTCAATCTCATTCCTATGGGAGGCCTGTGTAGATGCAGGTCCACCAGCAGGGAGGAACTCAGAAGGGAGGGGGAAGCGGCACTTCTGGAGCTGAGCCTTTGTGGTTCTCCCTCCGCAGAGCAGCCCACAGGAGAGAGAGACGCTCCCTCAGCAGAGTAGCCCAGAGGAGAGAAAGAAGATCTTCTACATATCTTCTGGGACCAGTTTCTCTGAAGAAAGTCTGGAATCATTCAGCACCAAGCAGAGCCGGACCCCATCTAAGCAGAAAGTTGAGATTGGCCAAGGAGTGTCAACTCCCCAAAGGGCACCGCCTTCAATGCCATGGCCTCACACATATGGCAGAGAACGAGACTCAGAGCAGCAGAAGAAAATGGGTAAGAACCAAGGGGTGTGTGTATATGCACAACTAAAAGGGGAATGGGAAAATGTCCACCTAGAGGTGTCCTTTTACTCTTTAGCTCTTTTACTCAGCAGGTCCATTTTTGTCATGATGTTAACTTGCGGGACTTCTAGAGATACCATAGCGCTCAAGGCTGCCAAGATGCCAGAAACAAAATGAAAGAGGAAGCAGGAAAGGGACGATGAATCAGTTGTCACCAACAGTGTCCACATAAAAGGTTTCTGATCCCCACTGGAACAAAACCCACCTAAATGGGAGAAACGCTAAGATTGGGGCCCAAGCAAGAGTCCAGGCTTTAAGGCGCTTGCCTTGTGCCTGGTCAGCCCAGGTTCTAGCCCAGCACTCCACAGGGTTCCCAGAGCACTACCTAAGTGATTCCTCAGCACAGCGCTAGTACTGAGCCCTGAGCACTGCCAGGCATGGCCTAACAGAAGACTGCTGGGCCAATAGCTGACCTTAGGATTCTAAAGGTGAGGTGGGAAGGAGAAACGCGATCTACAGTGACCACACTTCTCCACTCAACAATATTTTATAGTGTTTAGGAGGTAGGTGGCGTTGAGTTCAGCACTGAGGAAACATGTAGTGACAGGGATTAAAAGCAGGTGGGCCACATCAAGGCGAGCTCCTTAAGCCCTGTACTATTTTTTTTGGGGGGGGGAGGGTGGCAATACCTGGCAATGCACAGGGGTTACTCCAGCTCTGCAGTCAGGAATTACTCCTAGTGGTGCTCAGGGATGCTAGGAATCAAACCCGGATTGGCTGTGTGCAAGGCCCTACCGGCTGTATTATCACTCCAGCCCCCATTTTTAAAATTTATTTATTTATTTATTTTTGGGAAGCCCTGTACTATTTCTGACCCTTTAGCGTTATCTTCTCTCATGCTCCCCCACCACCTCCCCTGATGGGTATTTCCTTTTGGATTTCTGGGTCACACAATCCCCTGATATAACTAAGGGGTCACTTCGGCTTCTGCACTAAGGAGTTACTCCTGACCAGCTTTGGGAACCATACGGGTGCTGGAGACAGAACCAAACGCCCTCCCTTTCAGTTTTGGGGAATACCCAGTAGTACTCCGAGCTTTGTGGTCAAGGATCACTCCTGGAGGGCCTCGGGGGCCCGGTGGCAGTATGGCAGGGATGACACCCAGGCTGGCCACATGCAAGGCAAGAGCTCTACCCACTGTACTATCTCTCCAGCCTCCAGCGTTTTTTTTCTAGTTTTGGAGCCACACACAGTGGTGCTTGGGACTGACTTCTGACACCGCCCTAGGACGACTCCTGAAGGCGACAGCTGAGAGTTGGGGACCACTAGAACTACACTGAACAGTGCACAAGGGGCAAATGTGGCCTCTAACATGCAGGCTCTGTGCTCTGCCACTGGAGCCATCTTCTTAGCATATTAATTTAACAAACATAAGTTCTAAGTCACTCCTGGGTATAGTTCATGAACTGTTAAGAATTATATGACTATGACTAAAGGAATTTGTACTCTGTTTGTGCCGGAGACTGAAAAATCAAGGACAGGTATAGTTTCAAACCTTGAACGACTCCACCATGAATTGAGAATCAACAGGAAACACTCCACAGACTCGGAACTCCCACTGTTCCAGCTGCTGATCCAGCTGTTTCATCACGGGCAGGTGTGTGTGCAACTCAATCTGACCTACAAGAACACAAGCCTATTATAAGCATGAAATACATTCAACCCTCAATTATGGGATAAAAACTTTTCCCGGAAACTGTTTTAGAGGGCTTGAGAGATAGTATAGAGGGTGGGAACTTGCCTTGCACACAGACAACCTGGGTTCGATCCCATAGGGTCCCTTGAGCACAGCCAGGAGTAATTCCTGAGCACAGGAGCTAGGGGTAACCCCTGAGCTTCATCAGATACGGCACCCGCGGTGCCCCCCAAACTTTTTTTTAAAGGAAGTCAGTCCCTACAACTAATATATTCAATTTTGCTTGTTTTAAGCCGCACGTGGGGATGCTTGAGGGTCTCTCTGAAACTTCTGGGAGGGCTCGAGGCTACTCAGAGTCCTACATGCAAAGCCTACTACATGCAAGGCCCACTACATGTAAAGCATGTCCCCAGCCCACTATATCTCTAGCCCCTACACTATATTCAATTTTTGTTTGTTTTTTGTTTGGGGGACAACGTGATAGTGCTCAGGGCTTATTCCTGATTCTGTGCTCAGGGATGACTCTTGGCAGGCTCCAGGAACCATATACAGTAACAGGGATCACCTTAGCTGTGTGCAAGGCAAGTGCCCTACCCACTGTAGTATCTCTCTGGCTCCACCAATATTTTTTTTTCATTTTGGGTCACACCTGGTGATGCGCAGGGTTTACTCCTGGCTCTGCACTCACAAATTGCTCCTGGCAGTGCTCGGGGGACCATATGATATGGTGGGGTTCCGTGTCAGCCGCATGCAAGGCAAACGCCAATCCCATTGTACTATCACACCAGCTCCCCTGGCCCCCCGCAGAATTTTTTAAGCAACTCTGGGTGCACATGTATGTAAAAGAGGCATACAAAGAAAATATATTGTCATCATCATCATCACTGTCCTCCTGTTCATCGATTTGCTCGAGCAGGCCCAGTAACATCTCCATTGTGACAATTGTTACTGTATTTGGCATATTGAATATGTCAAAGGGAGCTTGCCAGGCTCTGCTCTGCAGGCGAGATACTCTTCGGTAGCCTGCCGGGCTCTCCAAGAGGGGTGGAGGAATCAAACTCCAGTCGGCCATGTTGGCTGGTTGCACTAAAATTATTAAAAATGATTTTAAAACGGGCTGCAGTGACAGCACAGCGGTAGGGCATTTGCCATTCACGCAGCCAGTCCGGGCAAACCGGGTTCAACTCCTCTGCCCCTCTCGGAAAGCCCGGCAAGCTACCGCGAGTATATTGCCCACATGGCAAAGACTGTTAAGCTACCTGTGACGTATTCGATATGACGAACACAGTAACAACAAGTCTCACAATGGGGAAGTTACTGGGCCTGCTCAAGCAAATCAATGAACAACTAGAGAACAGTCACAGGGATTTCATTTATTTATTTATTTATTTATTTATTATTTTTGCTTTTTGGGTCACACCCAGAGATGCTCAGGGTTTACTCCTGGCTCTGCACTCAGGAACCACTCCTGGCGGTGCTCAGGGGACCATATGGGATGCTGGGATTCGAACCTGGGTCGGGCACGTGCAAGGCAAACGCCCCACCCGCTGTGCTATCGCATCGCTCCAGCCCCGACAATGACAGATTTTAAAACAAATTTTTATTCTCTTAGTTTGAGGGGAGGAACTTTGGGCCACACCCACTGGTACTCTGGGAGGATTCCTGACTCTGTACTAAAAATAACTCCTGGCAGTGCTTGGGGGATCCTATCTGGTACCAGGGATCCAAACATGGGCTGGCAGAAAGTAAGGCAAGGGCTTTAGCTGCTGTGCTATGGCCCTAAAAAACAAACAAACAAAAAATCTTGGTTTTGGCCCATACCTACTAGTATTCATTGAACCATATATGGTGCCAAGGACTGAACCTGTGTCTACCGCAGCATCCTACCCATCCTTCTGTCTCTCTAGCTCTAAAGCAAACCTTTCAAGAGCTGCATAACCGAAGTTGGAGTGATAGCACAGCAGGTAGGGCGTTTGAGTTGCACACGGCCGACCCGGGTTCGATTCCCAGCATCCCATATGCTCCCCTGAGCACTGCCAGGAGTGATTCCTGAGTGCAAAGTCAGGAGTAATTCCTGAGTATCACCAGGTGTGACCTGTAAAGCAAAAAAAAAAAAATGCTGCATGACCTGGTACCCAAGAAACAACAGGCTGAGCATATACTCTGCATGCAGAAAGCCTGGGTTCAGTTCCCAGTATGCTTTGGTCCCCCAAGCAGGGCTGGGAGCTACCTCCTGATAACAGTTAGGAAGAGTCCCAGCCTCTACCACCTCTGGATGTGGCCCCCAAACAGAAGAAAACAAACAGACATTCCACAGCCCCTCATGGGATGACAGTCCACTGTCCAAGAATCTGGGGTAAAAGTAAATGAGATGCTAATTTCACTTTCTCCCACCAACGACAGAACTGCACAACACAGGGAAGATGACAATCTAATTACTGAGCTACCTGGACAGTCAAAAAGGATGCAGTCATCCTCGACATGGCCAAGGCAGTTCTCCAGCCACTCAAAGTTATTGGCAAAGTTCTCCATGCAAAACACCAGTCCTCCATTGGGACCGAAGCGCAGGGAGCCGTCCTCCAGCACATCATCCACCTCGATCAGTTCCCGGATGTCTGCAAAGAATATACAGGAAATGAGTGCCCATTCCAAAATATTTACATTCTTTAGTAATTACAACTCTGACAGTATCCACAGAAACTGAACAGGGGCTAGAAAGAAATACAAAAAACAAAAACAAAAAGACACCAAACAGGGGCCAGAGGAATAGAACGGTGGGTAAGGCGCTTGCCTTGCATGTGGACAACCCACGTTCAATCCTTGGTACCTCATATAGTTCCTCAGCTTCACCAGGAGTGATCCCGGAGCAGAGAGCCAGAAGTGCAGAACACAGCTGGGTGTGGCCCAAACCCCACCCCACCCATCAGGAAAAGAAAAAAAACCAACTAAATAAATAACAGTAGTCCAGGGAATCCCACTCTCAAGTAACGATGCATTACAGTCTCCCAGGTAGACTTAAACCAGAAACACAAGGGGCAGTACTCTTAGAAGGCTAGTTGTTGTACTTATAAATGATAAGGGCAGGGCACACACCCTTGAGTGACAGCAGTATCAGAAGCAAACTCTGAGCACCACCAGATGCGGCCCCAAAACAAAACAAAAGGCCAAAGAGACAAGAAGGATTTAGGCCCAGTTCAAATTCCACCCCCAAGTAAGCCCTGCAGGAACAGAGCCAGTAGCGACCCCCAACAGTTAAACCAAATGCTTCAATTCTTGTACTGTATTTTGATCTCTTTCTTCCTTTGGTTTTGCAACCACAGCTGGTGGTCAGGGGCATCCCGAAACTTGCTCTACATCCCTCTAAGTTAGCACCTTGGCCTCTGATTTTTTTTCTCCCCCTTTGGCCTCCCAGGCAGTATTCATGAGGCCCACGGGCCAGAAAGCAAACACCAGCACCCAAAAATGAGATAATCACCTGGAGGGGCTTAGGGGCTACAGGACTACGGTACCCAACAGTGCTCAGGGGGCCCTGCAGTGCTGGGCATTAAAACAGCATCCTGTGTGTGCCAATTATTTGCTCCTAACCCCTCTACTGTCTTCCTGGCCTCCACACTTAATTTTGTGCAAAGATGTTAAGGAATAACACTACAGCATTAGGTAATATTCTCGGCCTCAGAGGAAGCAAGAGTTGGAAATGACTTTTTCCTGCACACTCTCATGTACCTTTTGCATTCTGAATACTGTGCATATAAAACATCTGTTCTAAAACAAGTGAAGTGGGGCTGGAGCGATAGCACTGCGGGTAGGGCGTTTGCCTTGCACGCGGCCCAACCCGTGTTCAATTCCCAGCATCCCATTTGGTCCACTGAGCACAGCCAGGAGTACTTCCTGAGTGCATGAACCAGGAGTAACCCCTGTGCATTGCTGAGTGTGACCCAAAAAGCAAAATAAAATAAAAGAGGTGAAGCAAGGGACAGGGCAAGGAGGGATAGTACAGTGGATAGGGGATTCACCTTGCACACTGTCGATCAGGGTTTAATCCCCGGCATGCATATGGTCTCCCCAAGCACCACCAGGAGTTATTCCTGAGTGCAGAGCCAGGAGTCACCCGAGCATCAGGAAAAAGAAGGGCCAGATAGAGTATACTTAAGGCGCTTGCCTTGCATACTGCCAACTTGAGTTCAAACCCCTCTGACCTAAGAATTTAAAGCGAGGCCTGTGACATCTCACTTTTTATTAAGGGAAACAAAGGGAACTGTCACAAGCACATCAATAAGTGGATGCTAACACATGATGTTCTGCTGTCTACCATGAAAGCAGGGATCAGACTGAACGAAGTTTTAAGCTTCTGTGTCTCCCCAGAAGCAGGGGGCAGCACTCACTGCCTCAGGGCCCCCAAGGAGAGGGAAGGCTGTGCCCTGAACTCACCAGCCATCGCATCATAGTTGAAATGCTCTGCCGCGGGATCTAAGTTCACCACCTGGACAGAACGGCCGAGGGCTTCACAGTGCTGGACCATGGTGGCACAGTAGGTGCTCTGTGGACCGGGAGGCAGGAGGGGACAGAGCTTCAAGCAGAACCCACACCTCCAGACGAACCCCCACAGCCCCTGGTCAGTGTCTGCTAAAGTCCAAACTAAGCCTTAATCCCCCAAGAAACAGACTGAAACCAGGGAAAAGACCCAACCCGGGGCTGGGCATCAGGGAACTGCATGCAGTGCAGATTCAGCCCTACTGTGGCCACACTGAACTCGGGCCAGCGGCATCTTTCCAGCCAGTGTCCTTATCCCTGGCACATGGTCTACTCACTGCTATCAGGTGGGGTAAGTATGATTGAAAGGGAAGAATTGTCCCCCGCCCTTGATTTGGGGGCGACAGCCAGCGGTATTCAGAGGGGCCTACATCGTTTGTAGATTGAACCCAGATTGGGTGTGTGCAAGGCCCTGCATGCTCAACCTTTCAGGATTCTATTTCCCTTTAAAAATGAGAATAGGGTCTGGAGCATAGCACAGAGGGTAGCACTCAGCTGACCCGGGTTCGATTCCCAGCATCCCATATGGTCCCCTGAGCACCGCCAGGAGTAATTCCTGAGCGCAGAGTCAGGAGAAACCCCTGTGCAGTGCCAGGTATGACCCAAAAACAAAGGCTGTGGAACTAAAGGGGCCCTGGAGCGGGGACACGGAGAGTCCAGAGGGCAGGACACTCCCCTCGCACAAGAAATCCAAATGGCTAAAAGGCGCATGAGAAAATGCTCTTCATCATTAATCATCAGGGAAATGCAGATCAAAACAGCAATGAGATATCATGTCACACCACAGAGATTGGCCCACATTCAAAAGAACAAAAGCAACCTGTGTTGGCGCGGATGTGGCGAGAAAGGCACCCTCCTTCACTGCTGGTGGGAATGCCAACTGGTTCAACCCTTTTGGGAAACAGTATGGACGACTTTCAAAGAATTAGAAATTGAGCTCCCATTTGACCCAACAATACCACTCCTGGGAATATACCCCGCAGAGGCTAAAAAGTATAGTAGAAGTGACATCTACACTTGTTTGTTCATTGCAGCACTGTTTACAATAGCTAGAATATGGAAAAAACCTGAGTGCCCGAGAACAGATGACTGGTTAAAGAAACTTTGGTACATCCACACAATGGAGTACTATGTAGCAGTTAGAAAAATGAAGTCATGAAATTGACATACAAGTGGTACTACATGGAAAATATCACGCTAGGCGAAATGAGTCAGAAAGAGAGGGACAGACATAGAAAGATTGCATTCATCTGGGTAACATAAAGTAACAAAATCAGAGACTAACACCCAAGAACATCTGTGATAGGTACCAGGTTGTTCTCTCCATGGCTGAGAGGCCAGCTGCACACTCTAGGGGTAAAGGTAACTCAGATAGAGAAGGGAGCACCAAATAAAGGGTGCTGGGAAGATCTGCCCAGGATGGGAGATGCCTGCTGAAAGTAGTCTATGGACCGAACATCATTGCCACCCAGTGTCTCTTCTGCAGACCAAAGCACCCAAAAGGAGAGCTAGAACAAAACGGAGTGCCCTGCCACAGAGGCAGGGTGGGATGGGGGATCTCGAATGGGAGGAATACTGGGATTGGTGGGAGTGGAGAATGGGCACTGGTGGTGGGATGGGTACTCAATCATTGTATAACTGAAACCCAAGCACAACAACTTGAAAGTCTACAACTGTACCTCATGGTGTTTCACTAATAAAACAAACAAACAAAGAAGACCCTGAATGATCGGTTTGAGGCTCTGCATATTCCTAGAACGAGCACATGCCGTTGGGCTACGCTAGCAAGCAACAGGGATGAATGGAGACGTTACTGGCACCGTTCAAGTATATCGATGAGTAACGGGGTATCAATTGATCAAGCGATCAAGTGACTTTTAGTCTTTTAATTGTACAAATAATATTCAGTGTAGGAAAACTATAAGATAAAGGTAAGATAATGATTTTACTTAATTTTCCCAGGTATTCTTCCTTTGGAAAAAAATTGTATGTTACGTTTTGCTCCCCAAAATCAATAAACATTATCTAATAGCAGCTGTGACCATCATTGCTACTTTGTTATATACAAAATTATTTACATTCATTGCAATTTCACCTTCAAAATCTTTTTTGGGAGGAGGAATACACCTAGCTGTGCCTAGAGCTTAGCCAGAGATCACTCTCGATCACCCTCAGGGGCTCCTGGGACTACACGCAGTAATGGGGAAGGAACCCAAGCTGGATGCATGCAAGGCAAGCACCCAACCTGCAGTACTAGTTCTATGCCTCCTCAATTCTCACAATCGTATTTGGCGCTATTCATATTATTTTACTTTGAGGGAAAGGAGGGATTTGGGATCACACAGGGTGGTACCTGGGGTGTACAAGGTGAGTTCCACCTCCGGTCTTGGAAGTCACTCCTAACGGATGGTACAGACGGATGATGCCAGGAATGGACCTGGGCATCTTGCATTCAAAGGACACACCATCCTTTATATTGTCTGTAGCCCTGATGCTATTAAAAGATTGATTTAAGCAGCAGCAATTCCAAAATAACTCAACATCAGATTCAGGCATGCTGTGGATAACAGACTCATTATTGCTTGGGATTTTTTTTTCCATGAAAACAAACTTTCAGATTTTTTCAGTTTGGCGCTTTCAGATTTTTTCACTCTGGAGAAGCCCATGTTCTCCCTTGAATAAGTATATCTCTTCCCACTTTTTTTCTACTTTGGAGAAGCCCATGTTTGCTCATGAACCCATATTCTTCACTTTCTCTCCCTTCACATCCAATCTCCAAATTTCTTACAATAATCTATTTTTGCTGCACTTTAAAAAAAAAAGGATAGGGTTATGGTGCCCCCAGCAGGTCAATCTGTACCTATGAGGCGAGTGCATCGGCAGCCTGATGGCGCCTTCACACTTCCAGATACCCAAAAATTGCTGCTGTGTCACTCGTTACAATAGCCAGAATCTAGAAAAAACCTGAGTGCCCGAGAACAGATGACTGGTTAAAGAAAATTTGGCACATTTACACAGTGGAGTACTATGTAGCTGTTAGAAAAGACGAAGTCACGAAATTTTCATACAAGTGGTAAGACATGGAAAGTATCATGTTAAGCGAAATGACTCAGAAAGAAAGGGATAGACATAGAAAAATTGCATTCATCTGGGGAACATAAAGTAACAAAATAGGAGACTAACACACAAGAATGGCCGAGATGAGTACCAGGGATTTTACTCCATGTCTTGGAGGCCAACCACACAGGCTAGGGGAAAAGGGAGCTCAGATAGAGAAGGGAACACCAAACAAAGGAGTTGGGAGGATCCTCCCAGGATGGGAGAAGCATGCTGAAAGTAGACTATAGAACAAACACTATTGTCACCCATTGCCTGTTTTACAAACCACAACACCCAATAAGAGAGAGAGAGAACAAAAGGGAATGCCCTGTTACAGTGGCAGGGTGGGATGGGGGGAGTGGGGGGTGGGAGGGATCCTAGGTTCCGTGGTGGTGGAAAATGGGGAATGGTGGAGAGATGGGTATTTGATCACTGTATAATTGAAACCCAAGCATAAAAATTTGTAAGTCTGCAACTGTACCTCATATCTCACTAATAAAAAAAATTGCTTCCGTGCCTTTGGCCAGACCCCAAAAACTTGGGGCAAAGTTTCCCAAGAAAGTAAACGGCCAAAAGTTAGGTATATGGGAAACACACGAACAAAACACCTGCAGCTCAGCTATAAAATTGGAGGCATGGCCTCTCTGGTTCCTGATTGAACTGCTTAATGGCCATGATCCCAGAGACTCAGAAACAAATCTTGAAACCCCGGGGCTTTTGGCAGAAATGCATCTGGTCCATGCAGTAGGTTACCAGTGCTGGGCCAATCCAGGTGGGATAGTTTTCGTGCCTTGGTCTGTTCCCCCCGGCGGCCCTGTGGCCGCCATGCTTCAGAGAACAGTGGACAGTCAGGTTTGGGCTCGCAGTGACGAGACGCGCGGGGTCTCACAGGATGGTGGTGGAGCCGCCCTTTTCCTCCCTGTCCAAACAAGACCATGAGTCGCTGCCCAAAAATGGCCTCTTTGGCTCCTGATCAAGCAGCTTACTGGCCATGATCCCAGAGACTCAGGAGCAAATCTCGAAACCCAGTGGCTTTTGGCAGAAATCCCTCTAGATTTTTGTTAAAATTTCAGAATTTCAAAATTAAATGGCCCTACTGCAGCCACGAGACATCAGGTTATCCATAACCAGCAACAGAACACAAATTGTCTACAGTTGCCTTTTCAGCAAATCTGAGTGTTGGGGTAAAATCTCAAATAATAAAGGTGGGTCTGGTGTCAAACTATTGAATGGGATCCAAGTAGAGAGAGAGTAATGTGGAAATCATCCGCCCCACAGGTAGAGGGAGGGTGTGGGATGGGGGTATATTGGGGATTTTGGTAGTGGAGAATGGGCACTAGTGAAGGTACCGGTGTTTCATTGCATGACTGAGACTTAGAACCGAAACTTTGTAACTGCTCTCACGGTGATTCAATAAAGACAATGATAAAAAATGAAAAAAAGAGAGTAAGGTGGCGTTCATGCCCAATTCAATCAGCTAATTAGTGGCCGAATAAATAGCAGTCCACTCACGTTTTTAAAAAAAAAGGAAAATAACATTTTAGCAGCACATTCTTTCAAGTGGCTGCTCCCTGCTCTCCCCAGGGCCTTGAGTTCACCACATGGACAGGACTTGTGGGAAGAGGGAGAGCAGCAGCAGCCCAGAGGGGCTGCACAGAGAGCAAGCCCTGCTGCAGGGCCACAGCTGACCCGTCCTCGCTGTGATGCGCTCGATGACATCACCGACCTCTCTTTGTGATGCAACCAGACATTCTGCAGCCTCCCCAACTGCCCCCATACTCATTACTTGGTTCACTGCGGAAACGCACAGACAGCAAACATGTTTTGCTGTTTACCAAGAAATCGTGGTTGTAAAACCCCCAAGTGTAGGACACTGAAAAGATTCAGAAACTGGGTGAGGACTCACTGGAGAACTCCCCGGAATTCTTCACGAAGACAGCCGCTAGTTCAGGTCAGCAGGAACTGGCCCGGGCAGCCCAGCACTGATGCCCGTGATCAGTCTTCATCACCTCCCTGAGAGTGTTGGCGCAGACGCTCTGTGTGTGGAAGAGTGTGCACACCCGTGTGTGAACGTGTTTATCGGAGAGAGTAAATTTGAGTGTGTACTGGAGATGGTGTGTGTGTGTGAGTATGTGTATTTGTGTATGTACGTGTGTCTGTGTGTGTGTTGTGAGATCATCTTGAGGGCAGCCTGCTCCTAGCAGGTGAGTCATCAAATCTAGCCCCCAAGGCCAGGTCACTGCTCACTGAGTTGGCACTAGGAGGTGCTCTTGGGCCAAGACTTTTCTAACCTTCGTTGTTTCAATCTCATTCCTATGGGAGGCCTGTGTAGATGCAGGTCCACCAGCAGGGAGGAACTCAGAAGGGAGGGGGAAGCAGCACTTCTGGAGCTGAGCCTTTGTGGTTCTCCCTCAGCAGAGCAGCCCACAGGAGAGAGAGACGCTCCCTCCGCAGAGCAGCCCACAGGAGAGAAAGAAGATCTTCTACATATCCTCTGGGTCCAGTTCCTCTGAAGAAAGTCTGGAATCAGCCAGCACCAAGCACAGCCAGCCACCATCTAAGCAGAAAGTTGAGATTGGCCAAGGATTGTCAACTCCCCAAAGGGCACCGCCTTCAATGCCATGGCCTGACACATATGGCAGAGAACGAGACTCAGAGCACCAGAAGAAAACAGGTAAGAAACAAGGGGTGTGTGTATATGCACAACTAAAAGGGGAATGGGAAAAGGCCCACCTAGAGGTGTCCTGGGGGCTGGTGTGGGAAAGGAGAGTCACAGGCCAGAGAGCCCATTCTGGGGAGGCCTCCACAGGAAACCCCCGTGAGGTGGGCCCATGGTCTCCCCTTCCTGTTGGCTCCCTATTGGGGTCAGCTTTGGAAAATCCATGGAAGGAGCCATCTGGGTGACCTTTTCTCTTATTGATTCTTTAGCTCCTGCTCTGAAAGCATACTTGGCTCCATGTCGAAGGACAACGCCGTCACTGATCTCTCGAGTACCAGCTGCACGGCCACCCTCTGTGGCAACATTGGACAAGTTCCCAGAGGACCTAGCTTGTTTACAACTGAAAGAAGCCCAGGGTCTCACATCAGTGTCTCTGTCTGGATACCCTCCCACCAATGAGTATCTTGCCTCGGTATATTTTATGATATTTATTCTTTGTTTTTACTTTATCTGTTATATTTTCTTTTAAATAAATTGTGATTGCTACTCTTCACAAGCATCCAGTTGCATTTTTTTTTCTATTTCCTTTTTTTGTTTTTGGGTCACACCCGGAGAGCACAGCTGTTACTCCTGGCTCGTCACTCAGGAATTACTCCTGGCGGCGCTTGGTGGAACATATGGGATGTTGGGAATCGAACCCAGGTCTGCTGCGTGCAAGGCAAACACCCTACCTACTGTGCTATCACTCCAGCCCCGCATCCAGTTGCATCGTAACAAACTCTTCATTTGTTTTGGCATTCTTAAAAGTATTCATCCAACATAGAAGACGATTCTTCTTCATGTTCCTGATATAAATAAAACACAAAATAGAAAATACATTGATTTCTCCGCAGACCCAGTATGTATATACCTACTGTTCAGACAATGCTCTATAATACCCAGAGGTAGTGCTGATAGATATTCATGAACAAAATTGGGGCGAACGAGACAGCACAGGGGGTGGGGCACCACCCTGAACAGGGGGCACAAAGCACCATCAGGTTCTGGAGCATAAAAGCCAGCAAATGCGCAACCAGGGTTTTGGTTACTCTTTGTTCTTTTTGGTTTTGAGTTCTTGAGCCACACCCAGAGATCAGCCAGAACGGGCCAGGTTCTTGCTGCCTCTGATACTTTAACTTAAGGAGCTGCTTAGATCAAACAGGAGGGCAGAGGTGTTCAGGGCAATCCTGGCTCTGTGCTCAGGGACCAGACATGAAACGGGGAACTGATCCAGCGTCAGCCCAGGGGAGGCAGAGAATGGTCTTTCCTTCTGCGCCGTTCTCTGGTCCTGGCAAATCTAAAAGGTAAAAGGTAAAGGCCCTCCCGTTGATCGTCGATTTGCTCGAGCGGGCCCAGTAACGTCTCCATTGGAGACTTTGTTGTTACTGTGTCTGGCATATCGAATACTCTCGGTAGCTTGCCGGGCTCTCCGAGAGGGGCGGAGGAATTGAACTCGGGTCGGCCATGTTGGCTGCGTGCAAGGCAGACGCCCTACCCGCTGTGCTATCGCTCCAGCCCTCGGCAAATCTAAATCGTCAGAAATTACCTTGGGTTCTTTGAATTCCAAGTCTTCTCCGTACTGAATGGCAAAATCAATATGCTGTAATACAATGTTCCTGCTTTCTTCTCTGACTGATCGTAAGGCAAAAATCGGACCATGCTGTAGTCATCAATCTACAAATTAGAGATTTCAGAAAGGTCATTCAACTGACGCTTGAGTGTGAACATTGGTAGTCTAATTAATACCATCTATGCCTGTGCAGGGAGGAGCAGATAGAACAACAGCAAATCAGCATTAATTTTTTTATGACCTCTGACTTATTGGAACACTAGTAACATTACAACATTACTTAACTAAAGACTTTTTTTTTTTATTTTTGGGTTATAACTGGTGATGCACAGGGGTTACTCCTGGTTCATGTACTCAGGAATAACTCCTGGTGGTTCTCAGGGGACTTATGGGATGCTAGGAATCAAACCCGGCTCGGACCCATGCAACGCAAACGCCCTACCTGCTGTGCTATCGCTCCTGCCCCGACCAGAAACTGAGACTTCTTTAAAAGTAATTTATCTGCATTCAAGCACCACTGAAAATTTCAAAAGGGTACAGGCAATTCTCATGTGCCAAGTGGCCAGGAAAAAAAGACATTGCAGAATTTCTCTGCTGTGGGACGAGAGAGCTAGTACACCGAGGTGAGCGCTTGCCTTGCACGTAGGCAAGGGATGCACCCGGGTTCGATCCCCCGCATCCCGTATGCTCCCCGAGCCCACCAGGAATGATTTCTGGAGGCACAGCCAAGAATAAACTCTGACCACTGCTCAGTGTGGCCTCCTGCCCTCTCTGCTACAGCCAATGACAACTTTTTTCAGAGGTGAGGGGAGGCCACATCCAGACAACGCTGGTGGCGACCATATGGTGCCAGAGATTAACCCTCGGCCCCTTGTGTGCAAAGTCTGTGGTGCTGCCCACTGAGCTCTCTCCCTACTTCTATACTAACTTCGAAGCAGACAGCCCACCAATCCCAACATGCTGCTCCCCTAAAAAGAAATGTGCTGGTCTGTACCGTCCATATGGTGGCCACTGCCTGGGGGTGTGTAAGCATGTGACAAGACCATTAAGAAAAATATGGATCTAGGGGGGTTCGCGGGAGGGGATGAAGAGCTACGACAGGGGTTACAACTGGCCTGCACCCCACACACCTCAGTTTGAACACCCAGCACCACATATGGTCCACCAGGCACAGGGGAGAAACAGCCCCTGAGCACCAACGGGTGTGGCCCCCAAACCTTAAAAACAACCCACAACAACCCCAAACACTTGCAAAACTCATCAGCCCAGGGATTAGCACAGCGCTTGATTCTTGGCACCAGATGGCATCCTGAGCATTGCTGCGTAGAGCCAGGAAGCATCCAGTACTACTGGTACGGCCCTCTGGGCCCTAGCACTGACCACTACTAGCCTGGTGGGCCAATAATCAGAGTGCCCCCTAGGCCCCCCAGCACAGGAGGCCCGCACCCCCAACCACCAAAAATTGTAAAAATACAAAGTCTTACCAGCCCACATATGGCGTTAGTTAATTTATTGAATTTTTTGCTTCTGAAGTTACTTGTAGAATCATCTAATAAAGAATACATGTCTGGATCTAGTAACCTTTAAACATGAGAGACTGGTGAATGAAAGAATCCTAAACACTAAATTTGTAGACTGACAATCAAAGTGAAACGAAAAAGGTTCAGCACAGCAAATGAGACCTTCATTATAGTGAACTTACTTCTCAATTTCCTTTTTAGCTCTTTTACTCAGCAGGTCCGTTTTTGTCATGATGTTAACTTGCGGGATTTCTAGAGATACCATAGCACTCAAGGCTGCCAAGATGCCAGAAATAAACTGAAAGAGGACGCAGAAAAGGGACAATGAATCAGTTGTCACCAACAGTGCCCACATAAAAGGTTTCTGATCCCCACTGGAACAAAACCCACGTAAATAGGAGAAACGCTAAGATTGGGGCCCGAGCAAGAGTCCAGGCTTTAAGGCACTTGCCTTGCGCCTGGTCAGCCCAGGTTCTAGCCCAGCACTCCACAGGGTTCCCAGAGCACTTCCTAAGTGATTCCTCAGCCCAGCGCCAGTAGTGAGCCCTGAGCACTGCCAGGCATGGCCGAACAGAAGACTGCTGGGCCAATAGCTGACCTTAGGATTTTAAAGGCGAGATGGGAAGGAGAAATGCGATCTACAGTGACCACACTTCTCCATTCAACAATATTTTAAAGTGTTCAGGAGGTAGCTGGGGTTGAGTTCAGTACTGAGGAAACATGTAGTGACAGGGATTAAAAGCAGGTGGGCCACATCAAGGAGAGCACCTTAAGCCCTTTACTATTTTTTTTTAAGAAGGGAAGGGTGGTAATACCTGGCAATGCACAGGGGTTACTCCTGGCTCTGCACTCAGAAAGTACTCCTAGTGGTGCTCAGGGATGCTAGGAATCGAACCCGGATTGGCTGTGTGCAAGGCCCTACCGGCTGTATTATCACTCCAGCCCCCATTTTTAAAATTTATTTATTTATTTATTTTTGGGAAGCGCTTTACTATTTCTGACCCTATAACGTTATCTTCTCTCATGCTCCCTCTCCACCTCCCCTGATGGGCGTTTCCTTTTGGGTTTCTGGGTCACACAATCCCCTGATATAACGAAGGGGTCACTTCGGCTTCTGCACTAAGGAGTTACTCCTGACCAGCTTTGGGAACCATATGGGTGCTGGAGACGGAACCAAACGCCCTCCCTTTCATGTTTGGGGAGTACCCAGAAGTGCTCCTAGCTTTGCGGTCAAGGATCACTCCTGGAGGGGCTCGGGGGCCCAGTGGCAGTAAGGCAGGAATGACACCCAGGCTGGCCACATGCAAGGCAAGAGCTCTACCCACTGTACTATCTCTCTAGCATCCAGCTTTTTTTTTTTTCTAGTTTTGGATCCACACACAGTGGTGCTTGGGACTTACTTCTGACACTGCCCTAGGACAACTCCTGAAGGTGACAGCTGATACTTGTGGACCACTAGAACTACACTGAACAGTGCGCAAGGGGCAAACTCAGGGCCTCGAAACACACCAGCTCTGTGCTCTGCCACTGGAGCCATCTTCTTGGCATATTAATTTATTTTCTTTTGTTTTTTCTTTTGTGCTCCCGTTCGTCATCGATTTGCTCGAGCGGGCCCAGTAACGTCTCCATTGTGAGACTTCTTGTTACTGTGTTTGGCATATTGAATACTCTCTGTAGCTTGCCAGTCTCTCCAAGAGGGGCGGAGGAATCGAACCTGGCTCGGGCAGGCTGGCTGTGTGCAAGGCAAATGTCCTACCGCTGTGCTATCGCTCCAGCCTATGGCCATACCACCCTGTACGCGCCCGATCTCGTCTCATCTGGCATATTAATTTAACAAACATAATTTTCAAGTCACTCCTGGGTATAGTTCAGGAACTGTTAACAATTAAACAACTATGACTAAAGGTATTTTTACTCAGTTTGTGCCGGAGACTGAAAAATCAAGGACAGGTATAGTTTCAAACCTTGAACGACTCCACCATGAATTGAGAATCAACAAGAAACACTCCACAGACTCGGAACTCCCACTGTTCCAGCTGCTGAACCAGCTGTTTCATCACGGGCAGGTGTGTGTACAACTGGATCTGACCGCCAAGAACACAAGCTTATTATAAACATAAAATACATTTAACCATCAATGATGGGACAAAAACTTTCTCCATAAACTGTCTTAGGGGGCTTGAGAGATAGTATAGATGGTGGGAACTTGCCTTGCACACAGCCAACCTGCGTTCGA